GCGCGGGGGGGCCCCGTGGGGGACAACCCCCGCCAGCCTCAACGCCGTGCGGGAGACTATGGACGGTGGGTGGCGGGAGCGGTCCGTGCCGTGACGGGGGGTGGCAGCCCCGGGTCGGGCTCGGGCCTCTCCGCGCAGGTCTTGCCCCGGCGCTCCTGCCCTCGCCCCTCTCGGCAGGCTGCGGGGCCTTGAGCCGGTTCTTAGTTGTCACGGGCGCCTCCCCTGCGAAGAGGGTTGCGGTTTGCAGTTGCTGAAGGATTTAGCGCATAGCAATTTCTTTTTACTTCACGTAACGCCTAATGTCTGAAGCACTTCAAATATGCGTGTAGTGCTGGTGTCTTTGGACCTTGTGTGACTTTTCTTGTTTGTTTTTTTAATGAGCTGCTAAGCATTTAACTTAGAATAACGGTATTTTTTAATATTTATAAATATATGTATTTGTTATTCTTTCTCATTATTTGAAATAATTAAGGCAAATTATGTTACCTGGCTCTGCGCATCTTCGATTTAAACTGGACCAACCCTGTGGTGCTGCAAGTGGCAGCACCTGAACTGATCTTAACCCCAATATCTTGTTCCTGTGGGCTGCTCATGTCAGAAAACCAAAGTAAATTACTAAAAAAAAACAAACCACAGTGAAAAAGTTTTGAGAAGTGCAGTCAGTATTACAGAATTAGAATAATTTCTGATACAAAAAACCTGGCACTGTTGTGGGATGGGGAATGTGAGAGAAGTGGCACTGGGAGTAGTGGGAAATATTTGAGATTTATAAGCTGTGAGAAATGTGAGCAGGGTGAGTTAAGATCAGGTGTTCACTTTCTCTTCCAGCCTGACTATGAGGAATCAAAGCTGGCAGGTTCAGGAGGTGTTTCTTAGCAAAGTGTAGTGTGAAACTCTTGAATTCCATGGAATGGCTATGCCAAAAGCTTATACGGATTTCAGGCAGAGTGGAAAGCTGCCAGAAGATCCCCTGGGAGTTGTTAAATGTGAAGACTTTCTCTGGAAATGCCCTAATGAGGGACTAGAGGCTTGGGAGAGTGTTCAGGGGGGTATTGCTTTCTGTTTATTATTTTCTCACCATCTTCCTTTGTATTATAGTTATGGCTACTGTCGCATAAGGATTTCTTAGCTATAGACCTTCATGAGTTGAACTGGTGTAAAAATGAGTCTTTCAGCCACTGATCTACCCACTCTGACCTGCTGCTGGAGGCAGGGCAGGACTGGCAGGATTATTATGGCTGCTCTGATGCTTCAACAGGATAAGACCTTTCTGTGCAGCTGGAGAGAGGTTTGTTTGGGAAGGACAGTGATTCTAAGTTCTCGTAACTGTACTTAACACCTACCCTCTCTCCACTTCTGCAGGAATGTTTTAGATGGGAGGAATGATATGTGGATTTAAGGACAAAGTAAGGCTCTTGAGAACTGCTACGGAAAGTGTATTAGCCTTCAGATTTAGAAGCCCAGGCTTCCTGTGTAACAATGTGTGTATTTTATTTAGGATAGACATTCATAATTTAATCTCTTCCTAAGGGCAGGTGTTTGTAGAAGAAAACAAATTTCCGTTAACTTAATACTACACTTGATCTTTAAAGATTTACTTAAGCAGAGTCTTAGAAATACCCTCATGTTTGAACTTTTACTACACTTAATAAATAAATTGTTTTGGGTTTTTTACTGTTCAAAATAACATTAATCTTTTGAAATTTCCATTATAAGAATATTTATTTAAAGTGCTTTGGTGAAGTAACTGAAAATGTAAAGCACTATGATAGCTGTGTCCATGTAATTAGATTTTTCTTGATGAGGGCCCATCATAATTACTAGAAAAATATTTGTAGGGTACTTTTTTTAGACCTTTTTAAATAGAACATGAAATCTGTGTGGCGTCTTAACTTACTGCAGAAGAAATAGGTGCCTAATGGAAGCAAATAGGTTGGTATTAAAAAAAGTGTTCTTTTATATCTTCAGTAGTTTAGAAAAGTAAAATGCTTAATCTAGAATGTCAGATATAAATATTTAGCAGCTGTTCTCTGCAGAATTGTTGTTAAGAGCTCAGATTGTGGAGAAACCGCTATGTCTCTCTGCCAAAGATGCTGCCTCAACACCTAAAGATATTTTCTGTTAGAAATGAGTGACCACAGCTCTTGCTGGCATGGCAGATTGGAAGTTATCTTTAGTTAGATTTACTGCTCTGCCTTCAAATACGTCACATGCTTAGTAAATTTTATGATAAAATTTAAATGGTAAAAGGAAGTAAGAATCATTTATTTCTGGAAAGCTGTCGGTCTTTCTTAGTTTTGTAGCTCTTAATGTTCGATGGCATTTTATTGCCAATGCATCAATTTGTTGTTGCTTTATCTGGCTATTGAAAATGCTTTCATGTTGACAGGGTGGGCATGTGTAATGTGTTTGGAACGATTTGCTTCCAAGCCAGTGGGAACAGAAAGCCTTGTTGTGGAGAAGGAAGCTCCCCTTGTGGCTTGTAGTTAGGGCTTTGGTCTGACAAAATTCTTTCATGTCTTAAACTTGCGTGTATTCTTAATCCAACCTACTTGTGTGGGCTTTGAGTGTATTATTACTCTTAGAGGGATTTTTTTCATAGCATCTGACATTTCCCTGTGACTTCAGTGGAATTGACCGGATCCCTTAAGCCTTTAGTGTCTTGGCCTGGGTGAGTGTGACTCTGAAGGTGTGCTGCAGCTGTGTCTTTGGTATACCAAAGTGAGAATATTTTCATAGCTGTCAAGTGGACAGTAGTCACTTGCCAGGCTGCTTTTATATGGTAAGAAAGACCTTCTACTTCACTTTCTCCTAGCTTGCAGGAGGTTTGATTACAGAAACAGTGTGAACAACATCTGTTCAAAACCAGCCTGTATTGCTAGGGGCTTAGCCTCAGGATGGAGATTACTGTAGCAACTAGAAATAAAATCTCAGTGAGTTGTTTTGTTATACATATATATATATATATAAAACAAACTGTTTATGAGAAACAAAGAAAAGGGGCCTTCCAGGGAAGGTTTGGAAGGGGAGAGAGATCGATCTTTGTTTCTGCACAAAGCTGACGGGAATCTCCTTCTACAAAAGGTTTCATACTGATGTGTGGCACTGCTCTTGGCTTGGGTCATGTAAAAATCGGATAATCCTTATCCTTAAACCAGTGTTAATGTTAGACCTGAAGCCAGGTTTAGTTATGGAAGGAGGTGGTTAGAAAACTCCTGACATTCTCTTTAAGAATGTGCTTCCAGTATGTTTTAGTAGGAGTTCATCAGTATCTGGAGTTCAAAAGCACGGGTTATTCTTATGGCCTACCTTTTACATAACTGGTAAGCATGTTAGTTATTGAATTCTTCACTCATTTTTTTTACTTTTCAAAATCCATTATCCAGTATTAAGTCACTGAACCAGAAAAGCATGGTATTTATGTTAGAAGCTGTGGCTTCTAGCTTATGCTGGAAAGCTGAACATGAATGCTGTTGTTGAGGTTCAGACTGCAAGACCTTTCCACAGCTGCCATGTTCACAGGCTTTACTGTAGAAATTAAATGTTAATGAATAATATTTTTGATCATTGAAATGTCATAGTCTGTAGGGACTAAAGTGCTTTTGTTTTTTCTGTTGCAGTTCTGTTTGAGATTTCAAGAATATTAAACACTGGCTTGGATATGGAGACATTGTCTATTTGTGTGCGGCTTTGTGAACAGGGGATAAATCCAGAAGCATTATCATCTGTTATTAAAGAACTGCGTAAGGCTACAGAAGCTCTAAAGGTAATGCTTTTGCTTAAAAAGCTTATAGAATTGTTTTTAAGAGTCAGATGTATGTTCAACTTGCTATACTTCAATTTGTAAATTGTATTTTAAGATATGACTCATTTTTAAATCAAGGAAATGAACTGTTCCATAGAAAAGGCAATGAATACAACTGAATGGAATATGAAGCAAGAAATGGTACGAATAAAATCTTTTCAGAAATAATTAGATTAACTCTTTTGAAGGAAAAAAAAAACAACAACCAAAACCCACAGATCTTTATTTTGGGCGTTTGTAGCCACCATTTTCCCCCCTATCTGCATCATATGAAAATGGATTGCTACTTTCTCCTTTAACCCATATCACCTCATTTGTACAACCTCAGGCCTAATAGTGTGCAGCAGTACTTGTAAATGGGTACATGCAGCTTGCTAATGTAATCTTCAGATGTTGCTTTTACCACATTAACCTATGCTTGGAATCTCTCCGAAGACAAACAAGAGGGGATTTCATGGTGTGTGTATATACAGGGCTTTTCAGAATTTGGCATTTACCTCTTTAGCTAGTAGAGAGGGCAGCTATGGTTTAAAAAAAAAAAATCCTCACTTGACTTTTAAAGGATTTTCATTCTTTACTGTCTACCTAAACATCATGATTTTTCCACTGTATCTTATATTTGATTATATGGGAAAACCTATAGGGGAAACCTATATCTAGCCTGCCTATCTCTGTTCTGGAAGACTGCATTCTGATTCTTAGAAAATTCAACTTATAGATTTTTGACTAGATCAGTGTTAGTCAGGGCTATTTTTCCATCGGTTTTCCAATTTTTTACTTCATTTTTAACTTAACATTTTCTATATTCATGCTTATGCATATTTTATATTTGTGTACATGCTTAAATGTGCACATATGTTTAACTGCTTATATAAGTAATTGAGGACTGTTTTACTTTGCTTTTACTGGTTTATCATTCCTGTTGCTATCCTTTGCCTGTTTGTCCCATAGCTGGCTTAAAATCTACCAATGTGTCTCCAACAGCTGTACCTTGTAGGCTGGCTTGAGTTATTCAGTAATAAAACTATTTACTGATGACCTTGATCAAATAATTGGCAGTGTGATTAATGCAGTTAGGATTAGTGTCATTCTTCTAAGTTTTGTGTCAATAATTTATCTGTATGTGTGAGAGTAATAATCACTAGGAATTGTATAAAGAAGTAAACTCCAACGGAAAAAAAAAATCATGCTTTCAAGCACTTCTTGAAAGCATTAGCGTAAAATGTACAGGATACAAGCTGCTCAGACACAGGGTATACAATTTAACACAAGCAAACAGTAATGGCTATGTTAATAAAGATAATGGCAGTCGACAGCATTATTTTAAAAAGTATTCATTAGAGACGAACACTACCCATATTATAATTTTCATAAATAGCTTATTTTTAGACTTTTAAGTTCTCTAGGTAAATTCAAATAGTTACAAGAAGAGACTAAATTTAATCTACATTGTGTCTGCTTCTGGTGACTTGCAATAAATGTTTTTCTCTGTTTCTAGGCTGCTGAAAATATGACAGGCTGACATGGGAGAAGATTTCTGCATGAGAATGCCAAGTTAAAGTTAACAGAGGCTTTGAAGATTACCACTATTCAGAAAAAAGTGAAACAAGTGTGTGTGCAAAGGTTTCAGAATATTTCTGTACTCTTCTTGAAAGGGGTGATGTACAGAATAGCTTTGAAAAGTTTTTTAATAAGTTCACCAGTAATCTCATTGCTTGATATTTTTGTGAACTATTTGCGAATATAATGCAATTGCTCTTCTTTGGCATCCAGTGGTTTTTAAGCCATGTCAGATACTGCACACTTGCTGAACTTACTAGTGTGTAGCAAAGAATATTGTTATGAGTATAGCTTGTTAATGCATCCTTTAGAAGTGCTAATATATCCTGGTTTTATCTCTTGCTTTGATGAAAAACTACATGTGCAATTCTAGTTTTGCTTTATGGACCAGATAGGAATGAAGCCCATCCTGACTTTATTTTAATTAGAGTAAGGGTAGTGACTTAAGTCTCAGTCTGAAAGTAAGAAATAAAGCACTTTTGATAATGTAGGTAATGAATTGTCCTTTTGATTCAAATTGCTGGAAAAAGTGTTTTTAACTTAGATAACAAAGGAACTTCAGTTATCCATGCAGAAATGTTTGTAAATTTAAATTCTAGATTACATAGAGTATTTTACAGAGTTCAGGTGCTACATTTGTTATTCTGACTACTAGGCCTAAAAATATTAAGGCTATATTGTTACTTCCTAGTCAAAGCATATAGGAGAAGTATTGGATTTTGTTGATGGGAATCAATGAGTCTTTAAAAAGTCATTTGGTATAGGAATGTCTTCTCATTCAATGCTAGGAATCTTGACTAATGCCAAATCAAGTGTTTCTAGTATATACAGTAAACTGTTTATCATGTTACTTTCCAGTAAATATCCTTGCATCCAGGAATTCTACTTCAGATGAAGATGGTTTCTTGTGTATTCTGCATTTGCTGCTGTTTAAGCTTTTTCAGTTTTTTGTTAGTATGGTTTCAAGGTGTTGTGTTAATAGGACCTAAAGTAACCTCCAAGGTTAATAAGGTGGAGCACATTTGGAAATGAACCTGAAATCTTAGTGAAGCCAAACTTTATATTTGTGAGGAGAAAGAAAATTCTTTCTACTTTAAGAGTTTACATCATATGTACTCTAGGTCATAGCTCTACAAAAAGTGATCAAGGAGGCTAAATACTTCATATTGCTGGCAGAGAGAATAGAAAAATATTTATATTACACTGAATCACTTACCATTATTTACAGTTAGCCTGGACAAAAAATCATTCCAGGAGGATGCTGTGAACTTCTGGGTAACCAAGCTGGGAGACTTTTAAGTGGTATCAGTTTTCTCACTCATATGAACACTTAAAATCCTTTGTAAGTTGGTGTTGTAACTTCAGGTTTATAACTCTTGCATACTGGGTGTAATGTTTTTTGAAAACATTAAGGTATCCCTAGTATGAAAAGATATCAACAATGAAATTTATCCTAGGAAATCTGAAAAGTCAGTAACCGGGTCAGATCAACACAAATTAGCAATTAGGTCTTCTACTTAACTTCATCTAGACTCAGTGCTACATGTCAAAAATGAGAAAAGACGAGGGAGCATTCTTGCTGTTTTCAGGAGCCACATCTAAGTCTGTGAGTTCTCACTTGCAAAACTTAAACTCTGAATATTTTGTGTAAACTATAGCAAGTGTGCCCAAAATAATTATGAAATCCTATTGAAGTGCATGTTTCTGCTGGTGCTTTTTCTTTTCCTCCATTGCCAGAGGGCAATACAGGAATTCTGATGAATTCCCTTGAATGTCACTCTCTTGATTTCTTTGCATTTATGTATTTCCAGGGGTTTTTCTAACTTAATAGCTTGATTTCAGTTTTGGTTCTATATCCTTGAAATGCTTAAAACCAGCTTGCAAATGCAATATGAGAACAATTTCTGTGTAATTCTTCATCTGTCCAGTAAGTTGCACCTACAGTTTTACCAGCCATAAACTTACTGGTTTTATGTACTTAGACACTTGCTGGTAGACCATTTGTCATGCAGGATTATAGAAGCAGGGCATGTTTTTGACATTCAAAAACCTAATTTGGTGGATATAAAACTAAAAATTCATCGCTTTCATTATTACATGGAACTAAATGGTAACATTGGTTCAACATAATAGTTCATATTGACAAAATGAAATGCAAACCTTACAAGGTTGAATATTCAGCATATTTGGGCTGAAAGCAGGGAAGAGATGTTTCTTAAAATTGGCAGATCTGTGGTTACCTAGAAAGTCTATATACTTTTCCTCAGCATAATTGGCAAAGTTTCTTTCAAAATACCGGATGGAACAAACATGCTTAGGAATTGGTATAACAGAACTCCCGATCGCTTGTGATTTGAGGTACCATCCAGAACAAATACAAGGAATATTTTCTTCTTCTTCCTGGTAAGAAAAGCAGAAGATCCCTCTAGTAGGAAGTTTCATACTGGAAATGTTTCTGTGCTGTAAAATAAGTCTGTCACTTTGTTAGCATCCCCACTGTGTGAACGTGAGCGCTCAGACTTGGCATTGATGGCTGAGAAGCCTTGGCTGCGTTTGTAACACGTACCACCTTCTGCTACATGTAACTGTAAGAAGCCAAGCAAAGAGCACGTGCTTTTCCTCCATGCTCCTTACTTACATGCTCTTGGAACTCTTGAAAAGATAAACTATACAGGTTCTGACCAAAGGTTTTTCTGACACAATAGCCTCTTTTGTAGTCAAAAGCATATGCCTGAGGAAGGATAAGAACAATGCAAGCACATTTGGTTCTTTTCCTTCTGTGTTGTCCCAGCTTCCAAGTGTCTTCTATTCCAGGCTTTCCTGAACATCATATGGTTTGTCTATTTAGTAATCCCCAATGCTTCTTTTTCCAGTACTTGCCCAGTTTCCCTTGGACTATATACGCTTCCTGAATAACAGCAGCCTTTATCAATTGATGTCTGTTGCATGCAGAATTGCCACTTCTTGTTTATTTTGAACGTGATTTTTACTTGCTTAATTTAATGTTCCCTGCACAATAAACCTTTACAGATCATGCTTGTGCCAGTCATGATTCTGCAGATGTATAACATACTCACCTTTAAATTTCCTCTTTTCTAAACTGAAACGTGTTAGTTAACATATTCTTTGGCTGACTAAAGGCATAGAATAGCTTCTGTATTTATAAACTGCATGCAGCATTAACCATGTAGTTAAGTACTGGCCTGTTTACTTTCTTGTTCTTTATTCCTTTCCTAGTAATTCCTAATACTTGACTTGCTTTTTTGATTTGAACTGAGCTGTTTTCATGGCATTATCTATTGTAACCGCAGGATCTCTCTCTTGAGTGGTAATAGCTCAGGGGCTATTGTTTCATATGTGAAACTATGGTTGTTCATCTCCATGTGTATATTTTTTTTATTTATCTATGCTGAATTGTATCTGCCATTTTATTTCCTAATCCGTCTTACATGTCTTCCTGCAGTTCTTCACAGTTTGCTAGTAGTCTTACTACCATCACTAACTTTATCATTGGCAAATTTTGTGGCTTTGTCCCTTGTTCGAGGTTAATTATGAATAGGTCAAGCAGCACATGACGTAGTAAAGACTGTGGAGTGCAACTGGTGACCTGTGGCAGGAACTGATTGTTTGTTCCCATTCCTTTTCAGTGATTGTGAATAAAATGCAGTCCTGCCTTCTACTTACAGTTTGTCATTCTTATACTGAGTATCTTTAGTGTCACATATAGCACAGCTGGGAGAGCTTAAGCACAATAATGAATCCAGTCCTGCAAAGAGTATGGCATTCTAGATAACTTCCAGGATCACTGACATTTGTAATTATATAATTATATTTTAGAAATATAAACTTAAGTAAGAAAATAACTTTACAGGAGATTGTAGAGTACTAGAACAAAGAGACAAACATATGACCCCGAAGTCTCCATGTTAACATTAGGGAGATTTTGTTTCTTAGGCAATTATGTTAACCAAGAAGTCTGTTAACAAAAAAAAAAAAGCGGAATGATGGTTAGGCCAAGGCACTTGACCTAATAGAACAGTATCCATGATAAGTGCTTGTACATTATCAGCTAATGTTCTTTTCCCACCTGCTGGTCTCCAGCTGAGCAAATACTGGTTCAATCCTAGACTTGCTTTTTAAGTCAATCAGCTAGTTCCCTCTGAGATGAACTTGCATGCTGTTGTGGGCACACTGTACTCCAGGGACTGCTCCCAGCCAGCTGCACCAGGTTGGGTGCATTCTTCCCCAACGCTTTTCACTTTCAAACACTCCCATCTACTTTTGCATGCTTATAGTTCCATTCTATAGAAACTCTACAGCCCTCATTATTCAAATATACTTTGAATAAAAGAAAAAGTGCAAAAAATGATAATAACCTAAGAATCGGCAGTGACCCATGACAAAATGCTGTGTAGGGTGGCTGTAGACAACCTGCTTTAGAGAGCTAACGCTGAACAGTGGGGCTTATATTACTATGCATGATCTGAGCTAGGGACTTAGGTATGCCTTTAGTAGCGGAGATTCAAATCTTTGAACCACAATATTACTTTTAATTAAAGTTTGGAAAACAGAATTCCAAAGAATGAAAGGTGTGCTGAAGTAATTTCAACCTTTAAAAGAGCAAGGGTGGTAACACAGAATTGAAGACCGGTCACCTAGCATCAGCACTAGCAAACAGCGGGCTGGTGAACTTGAGTTTTCTATCAGCAACGAATGAAAGACAAAATGTACTGAATTCCATTTGAACATTGTTTGGTGGAAATGTTAGTGGGCTAATTTTTTTATTGTTTATGGGTTTATGTGTGAGATGATGTAGTACACTTCCAATTTATGCAGGACAACTTTCACTTAAAACAGACCATTGGCATCATTCAGTAAAAACACAAATGTACTGTGTTGTTACCTTGGGAGTGAGATTTGGAAAAAAAAAACAAAACAACTTTAAAAATGTAAAAACCAAAA